GGGGAAGGCCCGAACACTTGGCGTGGAGGGGGAGTGGGAGCCAGGGGGGAGGAGAAATGAAGGATGAGGGATGGGAAGGGTTTGGGGGAGGAGGAGGAGGAGGAGGAGGAGGAGGAGGAGGAGGAGGAGGAGGAGGAGGAGGAGGAGGGGCAGGGGCAGGGGCAGGGGCAGGGGATGCGAAGAGGACGGCGGTGGGAAGGGGGAGGAGGGAAAAAAGAGAGAAGCGGGGGGGGAGGGGGAGTGCGAGAGAGAGGCTCCGCTCGCAAGAGGTAATCATCCAAAGGCTCGGCGAACGCCAGAAGTGACCACCGAGCCAAGCAGCTCGGCTGCGGCGGGGGGAGGGTGGGCGGGGGGGGAAGGGAGAATCGGGGGGGGAAGGGGGGGAACGGAACGGGGGAGGGAGGGGGGCGGCGGGGCAGGGGAATGCATGGAGGGCGGGAGCGGAGGAGGGGGCACCGAGAGGGGGGGGGGCGGCGGGGGCGGAGGGCAGAAGGTGCAGGCCCGAGCCATGGAAATCGGCGGCGGCGGAGGGCGCGCACCAGGGCTGGGGGACCGGGCCGAGCCTGGGAGATGGGGCGGCGGCGGGGGCGGGGGGGGGCAAAAACGCCGTGGTCGGCGGAAGGTCGAGGACACGGTCTGTGACGGGGCCGAATGAGAAGCAGCAACAACCCAAAAAAACTGCGGCGGGAGAGGGGACGGGCAAAAACGCCAGGGTCGGCGGAGGGTCGGGGAGGTGGGCACGGGAGTCGGGCCAAGGAGACGGGCGGCGGCGAGGAGCAAGCGCTAGGGACACTCAGAGGACGGGCCGTTTCGGGGAAGACGGCTGCGGCGGCGGATCGGGAGCGTCCAAGAGAGGGGCGTCCAGGAGAAGGGTTCGTAAAGCATGGCGCGAGGCATGTGCCCCGACGAGGGGATGACCAAGGGACGTCTTGAAATAAAAAACACCATAAAATCAAGTGAGGCATCGTGGCCCCAGTAATGGCATCCAAACCCTTATTCGTCACCCCCCTCTTGACCGTCACCGAGCGGAGGGAGAGCAACAGGCTCTGGGGACAGCCGACGGGCGGCCGGGGACGGGGCCCGAGCCAAGGGCCGAGAAAAGCCCAGCGGTGCAAGGCACTCTCTAGGGAAGCATGGCGCCACCAAGTCCCCCACGTTGCCCTCCCCCCGTCCCCCTGGCACATTCCCCCTTCTATACCCCACCCCCGTCCTTTCTTGCGGGACGGGGGCTGAAGGAGCAAAGGGGGGGAGGGGAGCAGGAAAGGGAACCACATGATAAAAAAACAGCAAGGAAGAGCAAGGCTGGGAGTAATCCTACCAACCCACCTATTGCCACTTGTGGAATGGGCTCCCCCTACCCCTACAACGAGGACTGTCGTGGAGCCTTCTTGGGGGCTCTTTCGGGCTGTCGTGGGGTGATGTTGGGGGTCTTTCGTGCCGTCCAAGGCCTTTGGGAGACCGAACAGGCGAGCATATGAGAAACATTGAAAGCCGTACTCGAAGTTCTTGATTACTTGTACCTCTTCTGGTCCTATTGGTGGTCCTCTTGGCTCTTGGGGCCTTCTTGGGGTGCATTTGGGGGCTACTGGGGCGGTCGTTGGGCCCTCTTGGGTATGCTTGAGGCCACCCTGTGCTGACTTCGAGGCTACGTCGGGTTGCGGCAGCAGCAAGGGCAATACATGCTGTTCCCTTGAGCCAAATCGGATAACGGCGACGAGAAACTTTACACAACTCGAATTGCAAAACCTACTGTGCGAAATATGCTCACCTGTCTCATGGGTGAGACTTTCTCGTAGGTTCTGCAGCCGTGGACGCCGGGCTAACCACAGCCCTGCATCCGGCAGTTGATCATTGTGACAACTGCCACCCCGGGAGGAAAACAGGGAAAGCGTAAGACTACTGAAAGACAGAGACGGATGGGGCGTGCACAGAGGATGGGGAGAGAAGAGGAGGACGGGAGGAACCACCACCACCACCACCATCCTGGACCAGGGACAGGAACTCCTCCCAGGCCATCAGCACGGGCCCGTCGAGGACTTTGCGAGAGGCAGCCTGGGCACGGCTCTTGAGACCGGGGGTATTGGGGCGACGCTCAACCTCGTCTCCCTCGTCGACTAGGATGAGGCGGCCGTTCATCATAAGATCGAACAGCGCCGCGCTCCCCTTGGCGATGTCGTCTTTAGTAAGTGAGTCCACCGGCATACGGCCGCGTGGAATCCAGCGTACTTTGCCTCTCGCCTCTTCTAAAGCTTCACATATTATTGCAAGGTCGATTGCAGTACGTCGGTCTCTTGCTCCAGCATTGCCCTCTTGGAGCATTGTGTCGTAGATGCTCTTGGCATCGACGACATGTACTTGACGCTCTCGTGCCCCTAGGCGGCAGTCGGCCCGGAGGACGGTCGTGAAGGGGCAGGACGCCCGTCGATGATCACGGACATGAACGTCCTGGAAGATCACATCACGATGGAGGATCTGCAAGTACACTACTTCGGCCACAGCTGCTGACAAGGCCTGCGTCTCCCCGGCGAGGGTGGACGGCACCTTGCGCCGGAGCTTGGAGCTCCGCCACCCCAGGATGGAGGCGCGGACCGCGCTGTTGCTCAAAAGGTCGCTGTCGGCCGCGAGCACCATCCAGGCCCCCTGTGTAGGATCCTCGGGGAGCCCGCGATCATCGACCATGCCGTCGAAAGCCCCCACGCCTCCAGCGTCAGAGAACGATGCGAACGCCATCCGCTCGGGATCAAGGCGCCACACCATCAGGCCCCTGGAGGCCGTAGACCGGAGGTGTCGAACAAGCTTGTTGGCCAGTGATACGTCTCCAGTCGTGGCTGCCCTGAGGCGACCGGCGAGGATGCTCGCCACGCCTGCCGCCTCTGGACGGGCCCCCCGTCCAACCCAGTTGAACTTGTAGACAAGTGACCGTAGTGCTCGAAATTCTGCTGGCTCGAGTGGAGAGTCGCGCTTGGACAGCCGACCCTCTGCCACCGAAAGTGGCTTGATCTCCTCTAAAATATATTTTTCCATATCGAGCGTAGCCTTCTGAGCTCCTACAGTGACCCGTCTCCCGGCGAACTCGACGGGCCCGGCGCGGCAATCTCGGTATTTTCCAAACTTGAATCTCGCCTCGAGGGCCTGGCGAAGCCATGTTCTCGAGGAAGGCGACGAGCTGGCAATAAAGAAATCGTCAACCTCAAGCAGGATCACGTTGAGTATTTCCCCTTTTCTTGCCATATCGGACCCATCAGCACGGCTCGAGCAAGCTCTTGGCGAAGCCATGCTTCTCCAGGAACTTGACAACAGCACGGCGCCACGCGACAGGTGCATCGTCCAGGCCATAGACGTTGACCCGCAGAAGGATCTGCGAGCCCTTGGGCAAGTTGACACCCTCACACGGTTCCACGTAGATGCTGCCCCGTGCGCGGGACATCGGGTCAGACTGGCAGAATGCGTTCTTGACGTCTGCGATATCTGCCAGCACACCTTGGTTCATAAAGAACTGGATAAACATCATAATACTTGATGTATGAGGGGTCGGGGCATAGACCTGGAGCGATCCGGAGTCGGGGTCGCGATGACCGTGGACACACCAGCGAGATTTGGCCGAGGGCTCCTGGAACGCGCCCTCGACGGGCTTCCAGCGACGCACCATCCGGCTCGAGATGACACGCCCAGGTTGGGTCCGCCGAATCACTTCGGCCTTGTCCGGGGGAGTGACATCGCACGCTCCGGCGCCCATCATGGCATCCCACTCTTTCTGGTCAGAAATCTCGAACTTCTGCCTATCGGCCGGAGACAGATTCTTGAGACTCACCTCACCCCCTCGACTCGCAGCAAACGCTCCCGAGTCGTCAGTCAGTCCAGCCCAGTCCTCACTGTCCCCGAGATCCTGGGCCAGGACCGCCTGGACACCACCTCCACCACCACCAGGGATGAGGAAGAAGGCGCGCGGGTCCTGAGGGGGCCGGCTGCGCTGCCGGGGCCGTCCGGCCTCGATCTCCCTGACCAGGTCGGAGACCGGTCTCTGGGGCGGCCCGGCCCTGGAAGCAACCTCCCTCCCCTCTGGTTCGCCTGGCCCGCGAGACGGGGCGGGAGGAGGAGGAGGAGGAAGAGAGTCGACGGCCGACGACGGAGGAGGAGGAGCAGAGGAGGCGGAGGAGACCGCCTGAGAGGGGCCCTCTCCTTCGGAGTCGGTCCTGGCTCGCTTCATCTCTGGCGGGGAGCTGGCAGCTTAGGACCGCAGGATGCAGCCCGGCACGTCTGCCGGCTGAACGAGCCTCGACCGCCGAGGAGCGGGTGAGACAAGGACCGGAGAGGAGGCAGGAGCGGGAAGAGGAAGAGCCGGAGGAGAAGACGGGGAAAGAGGAGAAGAAGGCGGGGGAGCGGAAGAAGAAGAGACGGGGCCAGGAGGAGAGAGGACAGGGGTTCTCTCATCTTCTCGATCCTCGGAGACGGCCCTAGACATCCCTGGGGCCGATCCGTTAGGCGTCGAGTCCGGCGCCGCCTCCTCACCCTCGGCAATGGATGGAAGGCGTGTCCTGTCGCCCCCCGCCTGGGCATCCACCGAGCCGTCCTCGGAGGGGGGCCTAGGGGCCCTGCCCGCCCTGCGGCCGTCCAGACGCCTCGGGAGACTCCCGAGACCAAGGGAGGAACCCGGGGACGACGCGGGCCCGAGGACCGGAGCCTCCTCGGGCTCGGCGGGAGCGGGCCCCGGGACACCCGGGAGGTGGGGAGACGCGTCCGCTTCGTGGCGAGAGGGTTGGTCCCAGGCGTCATCCGGAGGAGGACCCTCACGCTGGACATCCACTGCGGACGCACGGCGAGTGCGCACTTGGTTCAGCAGCTCTTGCCATTGA